ACACAGGCAGAGGCAGAGGGGCAGGACTGGACACTGCGTAGCAGGAAAGCACGAGGCTGTGAGGCCAACCCACCTGGCAAGGTTCTGAGTTGGCGCCCAGAGACCTCCCTGAGGGTGCTGGGCATGCGCCAACCCAGGATCCAGGCCAGCTGAGCCGGGAGTGGGTCATGACGTCAGGGATGACAACGGTGGGCGCGCTCGATCTCTGGCTCACGGCAAAGTCAATCAATGAACTGTTGTGCCGTCAGAGGAGGGGCGTTGAAGACAGAGCTGAGGACAGGAAGTGGCTGCTGGCTTTGAAAAGGGGCCCTAAACCTCCAACAGCTGGCCAGAGCGAGGAAGAAGGTTCTCCCTGGAGCCCCCGGAAGGGAACATGGCGACCCCACTCCTGGGTTCTAACTGACTGAGAGCGTCCTTTCTGGACTTCCGAAGTCTGGCGCTGCAGGGTGACACTGCGGAGGCCCAGCTGGCGGTGTGGTGGCTAAGGTGTTGGACTCCCACGTGGCTGTCTGAGTCCCGGATCCGGCGGTATCAAAGTCATGCTGGACACGTGTGCCCAAAATTCCCAGAGGAGGTAGAGGGGGGAGGATTGTGGCATGGCCATGAGCCCGCGGAGATTTCTCATTTCCCCTCTCTCTGTCTCTCTGGTGGCTTATGGCAAAAACCTAAAAGAAAACTAAAGGTAACAACTTTTTATTTTATAATGATTTTATTTAACTTTATTATTATTATCATTATTATTTTCCAGTTTGATCAGAGAGAGACAGAGAGAGAGAGAGAGGAAGGGAGAAAGCAAGCCACCAGGTCCGAGACTTGAACTGTGGTCGGCTACATGGGAATCCAGCGCCTTTAAACACCATGCCACTTGCCGGCCCCCTTTTTTTTACAACTTTTTTTTTTTAATCTCTTTTAAAATTTATTATACTATTTTAATATGCTATGGGACACACGTGGTTACCAGAGAGAGAGAAAGCAAGCCACCAGGCCCACCAGGTCTGGGACTTATCTGTTGTGGGCCATGTGGGAGCCCAGAACCCTAACCACCATATCACTTATGGGGCCCACAGACTACTAGTTCTCGGCCTGTCTGTCCTGAACTGCACAAGTGACCTCCTGCCCATTTAGAAGCCCAGCTCTGTCACCCCTGGTCACCCCTGCTACTCTCTCTGCCCTCAAGAGGACATCTCAGGATGAGCAGTTGGCGTAATGGCTACGTCCCGGACTCCCATGTAGTGACCACCGTTCGAGTCCCGGACCCGGTGGCTTAAACTCACGCGGGGTGTGTGTGCGTGCATGCCCAAGATCCGGAGAGGAGAATGGAGGAGAAGGGATTGCGGCGTGGCCAGCCCCCCTGGGGGTGATTTCTAGCGGTTTTTGCCTTAGGGCACATGTGTTTGTTGGACTGAACCAGAGACAATGAGAGGGAAAATGAGAAATTGAAATCGCCTTCCAGGCAAGATGGCCCCTCCACAATCCCTTCTCTTCCATCCTCCTCCTGGGACCTCGCATGCGTGCACACACGCATTCAGGTTCAATGGAACTGTAGTCTGTAGTCGGCCATGTGGGAGGCCAGCCACGTAACTGATGGGCCACCCGCTGGCCCCGTGAGTCTTATTGTTTCGCTCCTTTCTCTTCCTCCTGACTGTGCTATTTTCCCCAGATGCCCCTCCCTGCCAGGACTTTACCCAGCTTTCAGACACACGGGGCAAGCTGCTGTCACTGCACCCTTCAGAGCCCTGGGAGCCGCCACGTCCTCTCCAGTCTGGACGCTCTCCGGGGTGGAGCCTCTGGGCCTCTGCACAGCACCACCCCGTGCACCCCAGGGCTCCTGCCTGCTCAGATCACAGGGCCTCTTCCGGCTTGTGTCCCTCGTGCTGTGGAGAACATCTTGGAGCTTCACGTGAGGGGAAGTAAGGATCGTGGCAGCGACAGAGCGTGTCTTCTCGTGGCCCTGCTGTGGTGGCACACAGCAACACACCACCATGTGGTGCTGGAAGCCACATGGAAGAGTGGGTTCGTTCCAGCCCCACTGTGCACATGCGTGACCCTGCCTGGCTGAGCGTGGCAGGGGCTGTGACACGAGACCACAGTTGAAGGTGCTCATCTCTCTCTCTCCTTTGTCTCTCTTTCTTTCTCTCTTAAAAAAGAAATGAACTTCTGAAAAAATAATAATTTGGGGGCCAGCAGATAATGTGGTGGTTAAGGTGCTAGATTCCCACATGGACAACCTCAGTTCGAGTCCCAGATCTGGAGGCTTGAAAATCACACTGTGTGTGTGCACGTGGGAGCCTCAAAGCCTTGAAGAAGAATGAAGGCGAAGAGACTGTGGCATGGCCATGCCCCCAGGGAGTGACTTCTCACTTTCCCTCTCACTGTCTCTCCAGCAAGTGCATGTGCCCTATGGCAAAAACCTAAAAAATAATCATTTGTCCTTACAGTTGGTAATTTTTAAAATTTGCATTTATTATTTGTAAAGAATTTTTTTTATTTATTTATATTATTATTTTTTCACATGAGTTTTTGCCAGAGAAAGACAGAGAGAGAGATGGAAAGCAAGCTGCTAGGTCCAGGACTCAAACTGCAGTCAGCCATGTGGGAGTCCAGCACCTTAATCACCTCGCCACCTGCTGGCCTGCTAGTAGATACGTTAATGCTTGGTGGAAAGTATATCCAGGGATAGATTTCATGGATGGAAATCCTATCCCCTGGGAAGTTTCAGAGAATTTCTAACTTGCAGTGTTGCAGGATGTCCATTTGTTTGATTCACTTTATTCGCGATGGCTGTGTGTGCATACGCACCTGCACGAGAGGGGGGAGAGAAAGGCACTTCTGACAGGGTCTTGTGAGGCCACCGTCCTTTTTCCCAGGCCCCCAGCTCCTCAGGATCCTAGTGCAAACGAGTACACCCGGCATCCATCAGCCCGACCCAGGGTCCGAATCCATGGGCTGCCATGCCAGCTGCACTACCAGGGTGGACAGCGGGATGGTGGGTGTAAACCCACTGCCACTCAGACTGTAGTGCCTTCACACAGGTTCTTCTCTCCCCCACTCTCCGCTGCAGAGTTCCCAGGGTCCCTGCTTTTCCAGCTGTCTCGAAAAATGCAAGGGCCAGATTGGACTGCAGTGAGCCATGTGGGACCCGGCTCCCCTAACCACTTAGCTGCAGGGCTGGCCCGCCGTTTCTGAAGTTTTGTTATAGGGCACCACTGCCTGCTGGCCCAGCCCATGTATCTTAACTTCGTCCTATTGTTTTTAAATAGAGATTTTTGCCTTAGAGTGCATACACTCGTCAGAGAGACACAGACAGCGAGAGGGAAAGTAAGAAATCACCCTCCAGGGGGAACGGCCGTGGCGCAGTCCTTTATCCTCTTCCCAGGATCTTGGGCACACATGCACATGTGCCTGGCATGAGTTTCAAGCCACCAGGTCCAGCTATGTGGGAGTGCAGTGACAAGTACATCATCGGCTGGTCCTGATTTCTCAGAGCTTTATCCAGCCCTGACGGTTCTGTGGTGGCGCTGTCCACACCTGCTGGCCCTGACCTGTTTGCCAACCAGTGGCTTTTCTCAAGTCGGCAGCCCCTCAACTGCCTGTCTGCATTTAAGAATGAGATGGGGAGGGGCAATAGGTGGTGTGACAGTTAAGGTGCTGGACTGCCACATGGCCACCCGTAGTTTGAGTCCCAGACCTGGCAGCTTGAAACACATGATGGGCATGTGTGCATGAGTGCCCAAAATCCCAGGAAGAGACTGGAGGAGAAGGGATTGTGGAGTGGCCATCGTCTTGGGGTGATTTCTCACTTTCCCCCTCTCTCCCTCTGTTCCTCAGGTGAACATGTGCCCCTATAGCAAAAACTAAAAAAAAAAAAAAAAGAATCAAGTCCTCCAGTGCCCCAACTGGAAGCTCTTTTTTCCAGGAAGCAGAGCTGGCTGAACGTGGGCTTCGCCGCAGGGCGGTTGTGAGCAGGCCAGCACTTCACTCCCAAACGGGGTGGCACAGCCGCTCCTCTGGAAATCCCAGTCTCCTGCTGCAGCGGTGGGCATGGATGGATAGAGGACTAGGCAGGGGAGGGGACGCAGGTCCCCAGTTCAACGCCTGACGTCCACATACTCCTGCTTTCTCCCGTCAGCCCACAGTGGGGCGTGAGTCTCCGCCAGGCCGGGTCCCCCAGGGGCCTTTCAGTGCTGGTGCAGAGTCACGTGCCCATCACCTTTCTCAGTGATTCATGTCTTTCCCTGCCTGCTTCCTTCTGTTCTCTGTGTGCGCTGGGTGGGGTGACAGCCTTTCTGTTCCTCCCGTCCTTTCGGTGGGGCTCCAGGAAGCAGAGGTGGCAGGAGAGAGGACTCTGCACACAGCCAGCCCAGCCAGTCCGAGGGGCTAAACGGTACAGTGATCCTTGTTTTGCAAGTGAGGCCATGAAGGGCCTCTGAAAGCCAGCCGTGGTGACCACCACGTGGGGGGGCCGAGGTCCCTCCCCCACTGCATGCTGCCTCCTGTCCAGAGGCTTCAGGTCTGGACCGGCCTCCCTAACGCACGAAGAGGTCCGGAGAGACACTGCAGGTTCCACGCAGGCCCCAGCGTCCTCTCGCCAGGCCCTGCTCAGCTGGGCGTGCCCACCTCAGAGGTCTGTCCCAGCCTGATGCCCAGGCTTGCGTGTCTTCCAAATGCAAGAGAGGTCGGGTTCCTAAGCATGGGTTGCTGGATTTAGCAAATAAGAACACAGGTCATCCACTACACTTGAATTTAAGATAAACCACGAATAACATCTCAGGATAAGTACGGCCTGTCCGTATCCGGGCTGGCCTTACACCAAACCTTCATCACTGCCCACCTGAAACGAAGCGGGCGCCCCATGCTCCGCAGGCAGCCCGTGCTAGAGCGCCCCGTGCCGGACGCCACTCTACCCGGCGCCTCGCTGGGCGGAAGTCAGCACGCGCACTTCCGCAGAGCGGGCCCGTTGCTGGGCGGGGCGGTGACGTCGGCCCG